TAGGGTAGGGTAGTGTAGTGTAGTGTAGTGTAGTGTAGTGTAGTGTAGTGTAGTGTAGTGTAGGAGTAGGGTAGGGGTAGGGTAGGGTAGGGTAGGGTAGGGGTAGGGTAGGGGTAGGGTTGAGATCTATGGGTTGAGTTAAAAAAAGGGCGCAACATACAAAAGACTTGGACACTCCGCAACTATCGCTATTATATTAAAAACAGCTACCCAAATCTACCCAAATAATACAGCTAAAATACAAGCTACTCACCCAAACTAATGCATCCGTCACATTTAATTAATCAAAACATACAGTTATCGCGCAAACCTGTACCTCTAGTAACTATAAAATACCGGATTTGTATTACTATTCTAGAATTATCTAAGGTGAGAATTGAAGCAATGAGACACGGCATGGCAACAGACCCTCATAACGGACATAATCCAGTCAATCAATCGTTCAATTGAACACTGCTACCCTCGGCATCCCAAACTTATCTGTAACTCTCTCAAACTTATCTGTAACACATAACGTCCTATACAGGTGATATGTGTTACCTGTAGGACATAGGCATTTTCGGGGAGATGTTCACATTCGCCATGGTTTTGAACGTATGTAGGACCATGAACTAAAGATAGGTCCTCCCATCTGTGAGGACCTACCTTATGTCCTCACAGATGAACTAAAGTCCTACCGGGTCCCTCTTTTAAATACTCGAAACTATTTAAATTAGTCTACATTAATATTTGTATGTTGGTGACCTTAAGCCCTAGTGTAAAGACGAAGAAACCCGACTGACCTCCAGATGATGTTGAAGACGATGCTGTAGTCGACGATGATGAGAATCGTCTTCGATGAGAATCAGCATCGATGAGAATCAGCATCGTCTTCAACATCATCTGGAGGTCAGTCGGGTTTCTTCGTCTTTACACTAGGGCTTAACCCGCGCACCGACGGGGGGGCGGATATCCGCCCCCCCTGAGGTTTTTCGCGGATAGCGGGAAAACCGCGGCGCGTAGCGCCGCGAAATTTGGTATGACTATTCTCTCATCAATTTTACACATGGTGTGCAAGTTTGAACCTCCTAACTTTTAAGGTCAGGTCACCAGGTCACTTTGAATGACCCAACCTCGTCACTTTTTTGCAACTTTGTCACCGTGCCAGAGCTACAGTAGATGTCGGAGGCCTTTGAAAGTCGCAGGATGTTATTAGGTCATTAGTAGCTACAATTTGTATATCTCGGAATTTTGATGTCGGTGACCTAAGGTCAGGTCAATTTCGCGACCTCCCCATTATAAGTCAATGGGGGAAAAATCAACTCCCTGTTTTTACCACTAAAACGGGTCGGAATGGCCCCATATACCATACATGACTTCACATACGATCAACCTTCACTACCTTGAGGTCTGTTTTGCTGTTGGGCAGCTGTAAGGTCATGTGACGTCATCAAAGGTCACCAAAGGTTTTTTGCCAATAACTCCTTACAGGAACAAGATACAGCCGCGCGGATGGTCTCATTGTGTTCAGCTCGTCAAGACGCATCGAATGATATACATGATGACCTCGAGGTCACGTGACCTGAGGTCAACCTTTGACCTTGACCTTTCGAGGTCAACATATATATCATTCGATGCGGATTGACGAGAGGATCACGATGATGCCCTTAGTTTGTTCCTATCTTGACTACTTCGAAAGTTATTCGAGAAAAACCCTCTCCATATCTAGCGCCGCCATTTTGACTTTTTCGACCCCTGTGACGTCATCTTTGACCTGACCTGAAAATGACCTTAGTAAAAATTGTAGACCTTGTCCGTGCGTATCCGATGCCGTTTACCGCTTGTCGCTATCTTGCTTCGTTCTCGAGATCTCAGGGGGGGGGGGCGGTCATCCGCCCCCCCCCCCCCGTCGGTACTAAGTTGGCGCAGACCCCCGTCGGTGCGCGGGTTAAGGTCACCAACATACAAATATTCAAGTAGAAACAATGCCCTACATCCAAGAGGCGTTCCGACAATTAAACTAGTCTACATTAACATACAAATACAATCAAAAGTCAGTTACGTCTATTGCATTGCTCGAAACGTTGTTCTGTTGCCCTGCCGTTAAATCGGTCTTTTGGCATAAAAGTTCCTCCTGAAATAAATTTATTTTCGAGAGTCGCAACGGTATTTAGGATATGCATGAATTACTACTACGATTGCTCTGCTCGCCTGCAAAACACACCGGTAAGGCATGTGCAATGTGCATGAGGTAACGACCCGACTCTGTAGTAGGCAGATCAGGCAACAGGTCTGCAGTCTCAGACACAACACGACACCGCCCAAACATGATCCCGACCCTCGTGTTTGGCTGACCGCCGCTGGCGCCGCCGCGCGGGGTGGACAGTCTCAGGCCGTGACCTGTCTGACCTGACCTTAGCGCTCCGCACGTGTCAGACTGTCTGGGAATGCAGTGAGGGGACCCGCGAGTAATAACATACAGCTTGTTATTCAATGAGAAGTTTGACTCATAAGCGGCGGAACGAAGAGGGCACCGGGGCACCGTGCCCCCCTTTGATATTGGCATTTTAACATTAGCCCTATGGGCGTTGCATGGAAAGAATGGGACCAAAAGTCGGCAGTCCCCCCCCCCCCCCATAATTGAAGGTGTTCCGCCGCTACTGGTTTGACTGGGGTGTGCTCTTGTTTGTTGTCATCGAAAGACCATAAAAATAGTTTGCACAAGTGTATCGCTTCTAGCATACACACAGAAAAATATTGACACCGTTAGCGGTGTAATTGCACAGTACATATCTGAGCACTTGAGGAAAGTTAATTTAGTCCCTTCCCCGCTTAAATTACTCGCGCTTCTAAATGAACACCAGGAAGAAGGTAATAGAACACTGTTAGGAGGGTTGGGTGTTTTACTACATGTAGCAAAACATCCAACCCTCCTAACAGTGTTCTATTACCTTCTTCCTGGTGTTCATTTAGAAGCGCGAGTAATTTAAGCGGGGAAGGGACTAAATTAACTTTCCTCAAGTGCTTAGATATGTACTGTGCAATTACACCGCTAACGGTGTCAATATTTTTCTGTGTGTAGGGAACATTTTCCCTCCATGTATCCAGATATACAGCCGACCAGTGCTGCAGAGCACTGTCACGGGTCGAGCCTGTCACCCCGGCTACTGGACCCTTCCGCCGGTGCTATTTTCATCGCCCATAATCCAATAGCGCCATGTATCGTTACGTGTCACGTCTCACCATGTCACGGTACACGAATTAAGCTTTCATAAAGGAAAGGCCATTTCAAAATCTTTAGCAGTAGTGGTGGCTATTGTTATCGCTGATTAGAACGTGATTAAAAAAATCCGGATATTCAATAAGCAAATGGCATGTGTGAACTGCAACCTGCCTTATCGCAATCTATAGGTACCTAAGATTTATCCTCCTCATGGATCATCCGAATCCAACTTATCCACCCTACCCATTAAAACCGACTCCGAATCAATGGCCCTCAGAACGTCTTGTTTCTCGCGGTGCAATAATGCAGTAGCCAGTAACCCTGGTGAAGAGATTGGAAAGATGTATCGCGCCGACCGGCCCTTGAGCGGATTTCCCTTCCACAGGTAGGTACTGACCCTGTGACGTCAGGCAGGGCCCGATGACGTCATCTCTTGTGCTGGGAAGACCGGTGGAGTTTTCTTTGAACACTGACTGTTAACCGCACCCTCCTATACTGCTCGCCAAATGCGTTGGATACGGACCCACAGCTTAGCGGTTGATGGAAGGATTGCGAATTCCGTCGGATCAGCGGTGGATCTCCAAAGAAATGCGGCAGTCTGTTGCGAAGCGATAGGCACAATACTAATGGACTTCGCCGTCCCCTGAAAGAACCGTGCTCAGAGTTTTCTGTACACGAAAATGCCGATGTAATACGGGAGTACCGACTCTTTTACAAAAAGCAGTTCCTATGGAGCGGGAGACAGGACGATGGGCGGAAAGATATCTAGAGAGAACTGGAGAAAGAAAGAGAGAGAGAGAGAGAGAGAGAGAGAGAGAGAGAGAGAGAGAGAGAGAGAGAGAGAGAGAGAGAGAGAGAGAGAGAGAGAGAGAGAGAGAGAGAGAGAGAGAGAGAGTAACTGAGAGGAAATAGTGACCAACTGCGATTCAGGACTAATGGGGAATGTCAATGGGGATGGTAGCGGGTATTCTCGACATTCAGCACGGCACATCTAGCCTTCTAGGTGTTCCCCGAAAATATGAGCCGATATATTTGTAGGTAGCTGATAGATGCAGGCGATGCAGCCACGGATGCAGCTTTGCTTCCCATGTTACCGATTAGGCGGCTCACAAGATATCTTGTGAACGTGTAGCCGAGACAAACAAACGATATTCACGATATTCACATAATCCAAGGTCGTATGATGTCTTTCGTGTCCGGCATCATTTACCTGAAATAAAGCTGTCTACCATGCGGGACGGAAGATTTATTTACCATGAGAACAGAACAAAACGATCCCAATCTCCAGACAATAAACCTGAAGTCACTCAGCCATACCGTGCTGAACTATAACTCGGCCAGTATCTGCACGCTCTTGTCCGGTGCGGTCTGACCCCGCCGGCCGGCTGTCTGGTGCGCAGAGCCTGTCTGGAGAGCACACCTATCAGGTGTTACCAGTCTGGAGAACACACCTATCAGGTGTTACCAGGGTGTGCCCTGTATGGAGAACACACCTATCAGGTGTTACCAGGGTGTTGCCGAACGGTTGGGCGGAGGTGCGACCCTCTTCAGTATCAGTCGCGCCGCTGACAGGGCCTAGCCGATAACCGGTGGGTGACCCCGACCGATAAAGGTGGTCTGTTCTCCGAGTTGGTGACACCACGCCACGCGCAGAGAGGGAAAATCAAACACAGAGGCATTGAGTCGGAAGGCGGGGCGCACAAATCTCGAAGATCTGAAGAAACACTCAATTCGTGCCTCCCGCACCACTCAGGTTCGATAAACAGTGAACATAAAACGATAACGTAACAAAGCTTAGTAAAGAAACGATGTGTATTATGTTGACCGCGCCAGTCACTGACAGCAGAGTTATCAGTTATCACAGATATGGTCAATACAACGCGTGTGAGCGAACTTAGATATCAACGGGCAAACATAAGAGCTGAACGGAGCCCGTGCCATAGAGAATTCGCGGGCTTCAACACAACCATCTGAACATCACATGCACAATGCTGCTAGCTGCATAGTCCATAGCAACTGTTGCCATGCTTCTCGCAGCTAACAAGAAAAATGATTAAATTAACGAGACTTATGTCTCACGGAATCCTCTCCGTCGAAATCCTAGTCTGATCCGACGGAAAGTCCTCGCTTTTTACATAGTCGCCGTTAGTTGGTTACCGGGTTACCGCCCTCCGCAACATTGATCCTACAGCATTCAGTTTAGCCATCAGGCTCACACCCAACACAACACCACAGCCCTAGAGGGACGCTGCTTTGTACCTACCTAGGAAATGGCAACGTCCGAAACTGACTACAGGGGTCGTAGACGATTATTTCTTACCCCAAAGTTGGGTGGGGCGGTGGAGGAAAAGATGTTTGTGGTTGAAAATGAGAAAGGCTGTCAAGAGATGCTTACAGCGAAGAGGATGTTTGTCTTGGCTGATTGCAACCTATCGTCTACCACAATCGGAAAATCTACGTCAAACGCTCGCATGGCTGACCATAACGTTGCATCGCGATCGCATGTTACAATATCAGTCCCACGTGAACAACTAATGTGAAAACAACAAACAAGCCGCCTAAATGTGTCCAGCAGCGTCCAAACTCATCTGCAGTCACATACGAAAGCCCGTTTGCCGTCAAAGCGCCATCTGCAGTTCGCTGCAGAGAAGCAACAACCTACATACCGACAGTGAGCTTCTGGCCTCGACCGACAGATGGCAGGAGGGTAGAACAGCGGCAGCCGCTCGGTCGGTACTGCAAAATCGGAGAATTGATTTCGTATGCTCAGTCTTCTTCTAATTATACAGCATGAGTAACGTTAAATACGGCCTTACAAGGCGTCAAGTCCGGCTTCATGAAGCTCCCACTCAGCCTTTGAGTACCTACTAGTCATACACAGCGGCTGTCGTTTCTTCGGCGCTAAAATGCCGTTCCTGTGGTCCCACTACTCACATTGCGCACCAGGCACGCTCGGACAAGGCACACTCGTCAAACCATCGCCCGCCATCGTCCAGTGTCTTCAACATTCATCAATATACACACAGCCTCACAGGGCCACAGCAGAGCTGCCAAAGTTCCTCACCTCACCTCACTCCGACGTTCTCAGGCCGTCTCTTTCCATCTCGTTCCGGCTTGGACCCACCAGGGGAGCATGACGAGTCGCTCAGTCGGACATGTTGAAAGTGTTGAGGAAGACAGCAGCCTGGACGTCCGGGTTCGGACGCCGACCATTCACCGCCAAAAGGAGAGGCGTCTGAACGCGAATCAGACGGAAGTTCACCACCTAAAACCAATGGGCTCATCACAATCAACGCACGTGCTTAGTCGCGAGAGAAAACATCGAAATGTTCACTGTTAACGTAGATTTCACGTGACGAGTCTAGTTTCATAAGTTTCAATTAGTTTAAGGAGCATATGGTTGCCAGACTCATGTGGAACGTGGCAAAACTTTCATCTCATGTAAGTATAAAGTAATTATCACGCTCTTAGCAAGAATAACAAAGCAACTGTGTGAATAAGAAACTATAACTCGGAGCATGTGTAAGAGCATGTTCCATCCGGTTTCAGGAACAACGTGCCGCCCGGCACACGTTTCAAACCAGCCGAGGCACCATAGTTCGAAATGTTTTATGCAGTTCCGGGAAAACGTGCTGACTGTTGCACGTTTCAAACCACTGGTGCTCAGTGCTCACGCTGCTTCCGCGAACTGGCGACCGGAGAACTGAACAAGCCGGCAGCCATAGGGAAGGTCACCAAGATCCTGCGGAAGATGGAGGGTGCTGCACCGGACGTCTGCCCAGACCGGGCCATCAACGGGGACTGCGGGCAACTGCTCGCGGAGGACCGGGCCAAGGCCGAGGCGTTCGTCCGCACGTACGCCCACGTCAGTAGAAACGTGCGCCAACCCAAGCGCGACCGGATCGTCAAGACGGAGCTCCGCGGCCTCAAGGCTGCCCCGTGCTGCTGCAGGGGACAGCGCACCGACCAGTGTCAACCCTTCACCGAACAGGAAATGCACGACCAAATCCGACACCTCGGGACGAAGAAGGCGCCAGGACCGGACCAGGTATGCACCGAACACCTGCGTCACCTCGGACCGACGGCCTACCGGACCCTTCTGGCACTCATCAACAGATCGTGGTCCAACTTCGAGACGCCCGCCTCATGGCGACGGGCGACCATCATCCCCATCTTGAAGGCCGGCAAAGACCCCAAACAAGTGGGCAGCTACCGCCCGATCGCGCTCACGAGTCACATCGCCAAGCTGGCGGAGCGGATGATCGCGGCCCGGACGACCTACCTCATCGAGCGAGACCGACTGGTGCCCCCCGAACAGGTCGGGTTCCGCCGCGGGAGGTCGGCGGAGGATAGTCTGGCCCGCTTGGTCCAAACCGTTCAAGATGGCTGGAATCGCCCCAAGCCGAGACGAGGCCCGGAGGATGGCGTGACGGCGGACCGCTTTGTCCTCCTGGCGTTCGACTTCTCCCGTGCCTATGACACGATCGATCACCGGATGTTGCACCTGAAGCTCCTCAAGCTCCTCCCCAGATGTCTCGCGACCTGGATATTCCGGTTCCTTCGCGACAGGCGGGCCCGTGTAGAGGTCAACGGCGCGCACAGCAGCGAGCGCGTGTTCCGCGCGGGCCTGCCGCAGGGCTCGGTCCTGGCGCCGACCATCTACACGCTCTGGGCGGCGGACCTTATCGAGACCCTGCGGAACGCCTCGGACCGCACGGACGTCCTGATGTATGCGGACGACACGGCCACACTGAGCGCTGGAGCCACCGTAGAGCTCGCGGTGGCTCGCGCCCAGAAGTCGGCCGACGCCCTGGCCCGATGGGCAAGGCACTGGAAGATGTCCATCGCCGGACAGAAGACCCAGGCGCTGCTGCTGACTCAGCGGAGCAGGGACGAGCGTGGCGTGCAACTCCTGGTGAACGGCACGCAGGTCACCGGTGGCACCAGCCTACATCTTCTGGGGGTGACCTTCGACAGACTTCTACACTTTAAAGACCACTGCGACTCTCTGCGGCGGAAGGTCCGGCCGCGGACGGCACAGCTGCGGAGGATGACCGGCCGGACCTGGGGTCTCCGCGAGGCGCAGCTCAGGACAGTCGCGAACGGGTATGTCCGGGGAGCCCTTGAATACGCGGCGGGTGCCTGGCTCCCGGCCGCGTCCCCGTCACACGTTCAGCTGGTGGAGCGCGAGCTGCTGGCGGCCGCCCGGGTGGTGACCGGATGCCCACGGTCCACCCCCAGGGATCCCCTGCTGGCCGAGGCAGGCATCCCTTCAGCATGGTCCACCAGGAAGACGCTGGCCGCGCGAACGCTCTGCCGAGCGCTCGCCCTGCCGGAGGACGACCCTCTTCGCCGCGTCGCGGAGGCCGACCCACCCACCCGACTGCGGTCTACCACTGGCTGGCGACAACTGGGGCGATCGGCGCTGATCGAGGCGGGCGCCGAGGGAGTGACGGTGGAGCCGCGCCTCGAGGTTCCCCTCCTCCCGTGGACAACCTGCCGCCCGATCGCCTTCAATCTGGACGTGGGACCCGGCGGTCGTCGAGCCTCCTCCAACGAGACGCGACGAGAGGCCGCGCGGCAGCACCTGGCGGCGCTCCCAGCCCAGGCCACGTGGATTTGGTCCGACGGCTCTGCGGACGCTGGGGTCAGACGAGGAGGAGGCGGCGCCGTCATCTTCACTGCGTCGGGGGAGACTCTCGAGGTGGAGGTGGCGGCGGGAGGCCTCTGCTCCAGCACCCGCGCGGAGCTGTTCGCCCTGAGGGCGGCGCTGGAGCGAGTCCGGGATGAGCCGTCCCCCGCCCCGCTGGTGGCGTGCTCTGACTCACGAGCCGCCCTGAGCCTCCTCAGCGCGGGAGCGGCCGCCCAGACCACCACTATCGGCGCGGCGATCTGGAGGACGCTGCTGGACATTGCCGAGCGCCGGCAGGTGACCCTGCAGTGGGTCCCTGCTCACTGCGGGCTGGCGGAGAACGAGCGCGCTGACGCCCTGGCCAAACAAGCGGCCACCCTGCCCCAGGGCGCCGTGCCCTCGGACGCTCGGTCCCTGACACGGGCAGTTCATCGGACGGCCACACGTCAGTGGCGCGAAAACTGGCCCGACTCCTTTTTTAAGACTATCTTCGGGAGCACCCTGCCGCTCCCCATCCCCGGAGAGGACCGAGAGGCCGCCATCTCGGTGCACCAGTTGAGGGCGGGCCACTGGGGCCGCTCGCTCCAATACCTGCACCGGATCGGCCGCCACCCCTCCGTGGCATGCCTGCAGTGCCCCGATAAGCGGTGCCCCGCGGCGCTCTGCGCCGTGTGCCGGGAGGAGGCGGACGTGCCGGAGCACGTCTTGCTCCGCTGCCCGGCCCTCGCTGGCGCCCGCCTGCGGCTAACTGGCAGCATTTACGTCGACCCGTCGCGGCTGCGGGACGCCGACCTAGTGGCTGCCTTGGAGGCCGGCTACCTTCGTCATAGGGAGCCTCTCGGCTATGGTCCTCCGTAAGGAGGGCCCAGGGGGAACAACAACAACAACAACAACAACAACCTGGTTCTTATGCCGGACGTCCACAGTGACCAGCAGGGGCTCAGGGATGACCACAGTGTCTCCGATGATGACCCCCTTGCCCTCGGCCAGGTTGTAGACGTTGACGGCCACGCAGCTGCCTTCAGAGTCCACCAGACAGAATGTACTGAGGGGAGGGTAAAGAGGAGGCGAGTTAGCATTACAATTCTGGCTTTTCTCTGGGTGTATGTGTTTAGGTGATACGAACCCTCACTGTGGTAATCGTTGATAACGTTTATATTTTTAACGGGGTGGTCAAAATGGTATGAAACCTCGCACTGACTCTCGGAAAATAATATAGCCACATAGCACTTTACCATTTCATATTGCATAAACTTGTGAGTTGTAGTATAACAAACCAAAATGATATTTGTTCAAACCGCAGAGCTCAACACAGCCCGATCAACCCAATGCTCCTCTTTCCATCCACCACACCCACTCACACAAATCCCCTCTCGCAACCATCCCGAGAGGCTCCCTCCCTCCCACACACTCACAAAGGCACGTTGTCCTCGGCGGGCACGCTACACACCACCTTCCCCGCCAGCAGCCGACCCGTGTTGGTGCCGGGAGTCAGCTCTGAGACCAAACCCGGCTTCAGCTTCACTTTCCTGCCACCGACCGTGCACTCTTCGGCGTACATACCAAGACGGGGCTTCGTCAGCTCCTGTGGAAGTGAATAAAGGTGGTGACTGGTGAAACACAAGGCGCAGTTCACAAAGGAAGTCCCACGTGATGCAAGTCACGAGATCGGAAGGCACCACGAGCGTGGCCCCAGTGAACTGGAGGGAAATGTTCATGTGAGTTTGGAAATATTGGAATGTTTGAAAATATTCAGCCGGGAAGTTTTAAGTTCAGCATGGGAATATGAGAATAAGAGACAGCTGGTGTATTAGTAGGCGTTAGAGGGCAACTGGTGCCATGAGTTTACTCATCACAGGCTTGGCACAGCTCTATCGTAAAACACAAGACTCCTACAGACTCATAAGCTTTCACAGATTCTCATTCTGACTTCAGACTTAAAAAGACACCAAGGAAGACTTCAACAGACTCCCTTGTCATACTTTCAAACTGCCAAACTGACTTCCAAAGACATCAAGACAGACTCTCATCTGCCATACCTGAGTAAACGCCAGCAGCCGTTTGTGTTTCTGTTTGCCGCGCGCTGCCACCATCTCAGCCACCCTGCTCAGGTGCTGTAGCAGGGCCTTCTCTCGCTCAGCCGGTGGAGACCAGGTGGGGAACAGGCGCGCAGCCATGTCGAACGACTCTAGCGCCGCCTGGTACTGCTCCTCGTACTTCAGACACTGCCGGAGGTGAGGGAATGAGAGATCAGAGAGAGAGAGAGTGCTGAGTCGAGGGCTGCCTGGCATTATTCTTCGTAGACACTGTGGGGTGGGAGCAGAGAGATGGATATTTTGCGCAGCCTTTACAAAAGAGCTCAGTGAGGTATGATGAATGCCGAATGGTGTGCACGAAAACAAGATTTAAAAATGTAGTTTCAGAAAGTTTGTAAAAATGATTGCTCCTAGCAGCCCACACCATAGCTCCTGGCAATGCATGTGTGTATGAACAATACCACGAGGTCAAACGTACCACAGCTCGATTGTAGTGAAGCTCCGGGCTGGACCGGGCCGCGGGATCTCTCTCCTGCAAACAAGAAACAGACATTTTCATCAGTTGACAGCCGGAATAAGACGGCCTTCAAAAGAAAAACGATGCTCGGGCCGTTGTAGGAAAATACGTGAGACGAAAAAAGTGATCAGTCCTAAGCTTTCTCGTTTATTGACCGGTGGAACCCCTATCACTATGCACCTTACCCCTCGTTCGTCTATCCAATCCACGACCCTTTACCTGCTCCCCCTCCCCCCCCCCCCACCGCACTCGCAACTCACGGCGCGCTGGTAGGCGACCAGGCACTGTTTGAGCAGTTTCGGGTCCGGTTTGATGGCAAAGAAGGCGGAGAGGTAGGCGTTGCCGAGGATCTGCCAGGAGACGCCGTCCTGCAGGTCCAGCTCTACGGCCTCCTTGGCCTTCAGCAGGCTCTCCTCCACCTGCTTGCTGCGCTGGAGCGGGTCCCGCGGCGCCGTCTGTCTCTGCACCATCGACAGCTGGCGCAGCGAGACCGGGTTCTTGCCCTGCGAATGAGGGTCGGGTCACGACTCACCATATAGAGCAGGGAAGAGGCGATTTCATAGGGAAGTCGGACACAAACATTCTGGCTGCGCTTTGTAGACGTGATTATGTATTTATCAATGCCTGTACCAGCTCAGCTATATCTGCTCTATCACTCTCCCTGCGGAACTCTCGCTACTTACCGATTCCAGGGCGCGTGTGAAGCAGTTTCCAGCGGCGACGGCGTCCTCGCGTTTCCAGAGGCACGCCCCCAGCTCGTTCCAGGCGGCGGTGTGCCGGTGGTCGAGCTTTGTGGCGCGGCTGAGCAGCTCCTCTGCCTGGCTCGAGTGGTCCGGCTGCACGTTACGGGCGCGCCCGAGCAGGTACAGGTACCGCACCCGGTCGGACTTCTCCGCCGTCTCTGGTGAGCGGATGTGAACAGGGATAACATGGTGTGGTTAGTGGGTCAGCAGCAGACCGTAGGTTTTCTATGACATCCTGCAAAAATATGGTGTTTCATTGTGGCTACTAGCTAAGCTTTGAAATGGTAGTGATTGGTAAGAATGTCTTCTAAAAGTGAGCCTATTTGTTTTGCACCCAAACCTAGTTAAGGAATCACACAGCATATTCATAAGCATCACAAAGTGAACCAATAAAAAACTTATAAATGGCCATTAAGCCCATTGCTTATAGCAAGTCACATCTCTGAAACAAATGTTGTTGTTAGCTAACCTATTACCTAACTAGTGACAGCACCTTAAATTATGCAAATATAATGATTTATGCCCCACAGAAATTCCAACAGGAGGTCACTGACTCACTATGTAACTTAGAGCCAAAACTCAAGCTTTTGTAAGCTACAAAATAACAGTTTCTGAATTACCCTTGATTTCATCAGCAAATTTGATTATCTCATCCAGTTTGCTCTGTACATCCTCTTGCTTCTTGCCAGCCTCTTCAATGGAGTGTGTTTCAAAGTACTGATCTCGAAAAATGAACAACTCATTCACCTTTTTCTGAAATAACATACAAGTGGATAAGTTGCATGCTTTCAAAGCAAAATGGGCATGTCTTCATTAATCATTTTAATTACAAAAATGAAACCTAGTATATCAAACTGATAGTGCAGCCGCATAGTTCACTTATGCAAGAAATGCTTTAACGAGCTATGCTAAAAGAAAAATGTGACAGCTACGTGGTGCTAGGTTTCTTAAAGATTTGAATAAATTTGTATCATAAATTTCAAAGTTGCTGGTAATCTTCCAGTTATTATTCAAATCATCTTTATTCTTATCATAAGCTTCTCATTAGAATCAGTGAGATGAGTGAAAACTTACCTCCAATTCATCCAGCTCAGCACACCCCATGACTGATATTTGTGGTCTCGGATCTGCTGGTCACAGGCACTTCTTCAATCAGTTCAAATGTGAATCCTGCAATAATATACATGTGACTAGGTTTGCACTCTTCTGAAATGGCCTTTCAGAAAACAAGATCAAAACTCCTATTGGGAGGTAGGTATACAACAGCCTATCCCAGCCTGATCCTATTTAAATTATAGTCCTACCCATGCCACCAAGGCTATATAGTATATAACCATACTGCCTTGATATAACTCATGCCACGAACCAGTGACCAAGTCAGTCAAGTCCAAGGCGTCAAGTCAAAGTGGTTTTGGCATGCTCAAGTTAGACTGGGACAAGTTCATTTGCAGCTGACGAGCAAAATAAAGGCAACGCATAAAGGCAACGCAACGCAAGTATATAGGGCCTTGGGCAACGTTACCTACTATACAATATATGCAGACCAAGAAATTTTTTAAAATGTAAAAAACATATATAATTTACAAAACTCACTTAAGTACTGTAACTTGAGTTGTTATTCAATGATGTCTCACACACGCCATAACTGTAGAATTCTATTGCTACCATATCCCGTCGTATTCAAAGAAAAGTGCTACCTGAGATAAATATGTATACATAAACTTTGCATATACATTATACAGTACCTATCTTGACCTATACTATGTAATGCATGCATGATGATCGTGACGATCGTGACACCCGTCCGTCGTTTCCATCATCAGGAAACTGAAATCCTTCTCCTTCACGCCGCAACCGCATTCCGGGCTGGACAGGTATCTTTTTATCTCATGCGGGCTGCTCCCTTGGAGCGGCACCGCTGCTCCCGCGAGGGAGCGCACCCCGACCCCGTAACTGGGTGCAGCAGAGAGTGGTTAGGGTTGGGGGGCTGGTCGGCCCAAGATACCTATAGGGTTGGCCTGTTCTTTCGGACGGGCTCAGCCCCGGCGACTCATCTAGGGCGTCTGCCCTAGATGAGGATAGCCCTAGTGATGCCCTAGAGTAGGGCGGCGCTGACCTTTTGAAAGCATGTAGACTTAGAGGCACTCGATAAGGTAAAGCAAAGAATAGTAAAAATAATGATGGAAAGGTACAAACTCGCATGCTAGGAAACCTAGATAGATACCTATTTTTGCGAGAAACACGGTGCACATGCGACAAAGTTTTTACGGTAGGGAATGGATCCTCAATTTCCAACCGTCAAGCAGCGTCATAGGCGGCGGAACGATTTGAGACAAGGGGGGGCACCAGCTCAAGGAGCCAAACCTAGGGTAGGGTACCACCAAATCCTGTTTTCTCATCGGATTTAGGCCACTTATTTTTCGTCACAGCCCTGGCACGATGATTCTTTTTTTTTTTTACTAAACGAAAATGGCAGTTCACCCCGTATGTGTGGTTAACTTTAAGCTGATCCTCAAGTACCTATGTGTTTGTTTCTTCCTTATTCTCGTTTGATAAATTCCATTAATCCTACATGTATCAAATTACCAAGAAGCCATCGCAGTACTGATCAGTGGCGAATCCCAGGGGGGAGGTCACACTCACATGGGTCATGACTTTGGGCCTGGGGTCACCACATGCCTGCCAGGAGCACCGCAGGCCTGACAGCCGACAAGGGCACCACAGGTCCGCCAGGGGTATACCACAGGCCTAGCAGGGGCACCACGGGCCTGTCAGTGGCACCACAGGCCTGTCAGGAGTACCATCGGCCTAGCAAAAGCACTACAGGTCTTCCAGGAGCACCACAGACCTGCCAGGGGCACCAGAGGCCTGCCAGGGGCACTATCGGCTTCGCAGGGGAACCACCGGCCTCGCAAGGGCACCATGGGCCTGTCAAGGGCACCACAAGCCTGTCGTTGGCACTTTCGGATTGTCAGGGGCACCACAAACCTGTCAAGGGCACCTGCGTTCTAACAGGGGCACCACAGGCTCGCCAGGGGCACCACAGACCTGCCAAGGCCCAGGGACATCACAGGCCTGTCAGGGGCACCACGGGCCTGTCAGGGGCACCACGGGCCTGTCAGGGCCCCTGGGCACCTAAGTCATGCGCAGGGCCCACCGTAGGCTTGTCAGGGGGCAGGGTAGGTAGGTACCACAGTCTTTCCAGGGGCACCAGCGGCCTAGCAGGGGCACCAGTCATCATACGACTAACAAAAAATAAAGAAAATAAAAAACTGAAAATAGGGCATCACCAAAATTAAGTGGCCGAAATCCGTTGAGGTTTTAATTTTGGGTATAGGTAAGGGCACCACTTTGATTCATGACCCTCCCCTTGGAGTTTTCCCGAATCCGCCCCTGGTACTACACCTTTTTGCATTGCGAGTCGGCATAGATTCAATTGACCGTAACTATAGGCGGCCCAGTTCGGTAAACGAGCATTGTGTTAGACTTACTTTGGACTGTTCGACAGTTTTCATTTCGTTAGTTTATCGGCTGTTCATTTTCGAACGATGTCACAGTATATCGACAAGGGCATTTGATATCGACGCTGACGATAGATTTAGTCTTAGGTCACTTAATTTAGTCGCTTTGCGATTGAATTAGGCAATACAAAATGGATTTCGTTAACGTATAATTTGATTTTTATATTTGTATTTTTCATCAGACGATGAAAATATTAGGCATGTGTTTTTGTGTTGATAAACTCATGAAGTGGCAAACTGACCACGTGGCGTCATAGATACATCCTTTACACTTGAGCTTCTACTGGTTCCCGGTAGGCTAGGTGACCTCAAGCCAGGTCAGTGTGCTTGTGTCATTTGTTATCAAGATGCCCAGCCGCCGCCATACAGTTTGTGCCGCGGACTGCGAGAGAATAATCCAAGCGGTGGCAACGATAACGTTGCTGTGGCCCGCCAGTTGAGCGTAAAGAGGACGACCGGCTGGTCCATCGTGGCAAAGTGGACGCGTACCGGGGAGTTTGCTGCACGGAGGAGAGGGGGCAACCGACCGAGGAAGCTGGATGACATGATCGACTTCTACCTGATGCTGATTGACGACGACCCGAACAACCGGCGCCTGTCTGGCCAGAGAGGGATCTGGGCCGAGTGACCGCACCGGCGCGGCGACAACTGGCGGCTGTGGAGCGTTCAGTTGTGTGCATTGATTTTGCTGCTTGTGTTCATTGGTATTGCAGTGTTACGTAATGTTTTTTTTATGTGGCATGGCCATTGGCCATACACAAATGAAATTTTGTTTATCATGTTGCATTTTTTTTTACCAGAGGCATTTCAAGCCGATGAGCCATTACTGTGGATTGAAATGATTCGTTAGCTGCATACATTTATTTGTTTAATAAAATGTACTTGTATTAAAACCAAATTGTGTTGCATCGTGCAGTGGGACTAAAAAGTAATTCTATGGTGTTTTACGCACGTGTTACCAATTCGTTAGCTGCGAATATTTGTAGAGACAGGCCGCAAGTTCAATCAAATCAAATACAGTTATGGTATGTCGATTATGAATGCTCAGCTCATACATATTGATTACGTACCTATACGACGAAGTTGGATAAAATCGTAAACGAAATTAAAATACCTTTGTCAAAATTGATTCACGCCCGTCTATATCAGATGGACGTTGTCATATTCAGCGTACTATGTCTAAATCCACTGAAAAGTGTCGAAGTTGCGCACACTGCCTATTTTCAATGCCCCTTATCGTGAAGGCGCGTTGTGTCGATGAGAGGCGCACAATGTCGAAAGAGCACGCCTGTTGGCGGCTTAAATGAAATAAGTCTATATGACCTGCACAGATGCCGACTCGCAATGAAAAAAGGTGTAATACATCAAATTTAAGGGGGGCACCTTGCTATTGGTGCCCCCCTTGCAGAATTCAAGGGGGCACGGTGCCCCGGTGCCCCCCCCCCGCCCCCGTTCCGCCGCCTATGAGCAGCGTCATGTCATCTATAAAAGCAATTCGCTTAGGTACCTAATTCCTAATTCCTATGTATATCTGCCGCCAGAGGGGATTAATGCCAGAGGAGATGCCGCCAGATGCCCCAGTAGGAATCTAGTTTATATCTTAACAATTATATCAGACGAAAAAAAATGGCCAATTAATCTTGGCACTTCAAGCTATAGCATGAATAAAAAAATTGAAAAAGCAATGTGTTTTACTTGATGAAAGATGACCATAATAAGAAATTGAGTTTCAGAGCTAGAAGGTAGCATCTAGTCGATATGCCTACCTTTCAGATCTTTTCTACCAGAAGGCTAAGCCTAAATGGCCTCAACATGGGCACTAGTAGGCTAAGTATCTAGTAGTACAAGGTAGGTATAATTCGGCATAATGTAAAATCGTATAAAAGAATGCCAGCATCAAAGGAGTGTGGAGATGCATGGGAGCAGGGGTGAATAAAACCCAAAAGCTGTCACCTACGGGCTACGCGATGTCTAGCTGTCACCAATTTTTCACAAGTCATTTTGAGACAGTAGGTAGGTAGGTGCCACATTTTTGCCGCTTTCTCTTCATCTTTGTAGGCCTAAAACTAGGTACATTTGAAAATGAGGCTAGAATGTTAGGAAGAAACTGGCCTTTCAAATTTCGGCCTGTGGGCATTACAATGCATCATGGCATTCTAGTGACGCAACAACAAAAAAAGACACTATCATTTGACTTACCTATAGGTCTGATCCACTGCCTAGCTCGTCCATGGCTTCCTGATACAGTCCAATCAAAACTCACGAAAGGATTGTCAGCTATCACTGATTCACTCCACTTGCCTTTGCTTCAGTATGTAGGTACTGGGCCGTGTTAGGGCAGCGGACCAATTATCAACGCTCCTACCAAGTTTCTGGGACCTATGGTCATGGACCTCGCCCCAGTTGTGGCCAAGATGTGACGTCCCCCGTCCCAGTCGCCCGGTCCCTCCCTACTCCGGCGGCGGCCAAGGCCGCGCCGGTCCCCGCCACCGCTCAACCGGTGACGAGCGGGGACGAGCTGTCGCACTGTCGCGTCACCGCTTTTCCTGCGCTGTCTACGGAGCTTCACAACGCACCAGCTGTTGCACCGGCGGGATTTTTCAGCCCCAGCTCGGGCAGCTGTCTACAAAGAGATAGAAATGTCTGTAAAAGGGCTATCGAATGCGCTTTTCCACGGCGCTGTGCCCTTGGCAGTTTTCAAAATCGTTGAAATGGACTAAATTTGACCTTTGATGACATGTGGTGATCTGACCTTTGACCTGACCTAAAAAATTACCGAAGCCCAGGAGCCGAGTTAAACGGGGGGGGGGGGTGTTCAGACCCACCGGCCCGACGTGGAGGTCGCGGAGCACCGGCCCGGCGCGGGTTAAAACAAACGAGCTACTTATAAACATACTTTTCTGCTGGCTGGACTAGAC